TTTACATTTTGGAGTAGTTTAGAGACATCACTATTTTACTCTTAATATTATTAGTGTAACCATACTCTTGCTTGAATAAAACATTTGGCTACTCTTCCCAGTGTGAGTCTGTAAGTGACCTTTATGTTGACATACCAAACAGTACCAAAACTTTGTGCATTATTTAAGGTTTTGTCCTTCCAATTTCACTTTTCAAATTAGAAATCAGTTGTTATGTCCAAAAATAAAATTACTCTTACTTGAGTAGTAGTTTCCCCAAATACGTTTTTATTTGAGTAATTTTTTGAACCTCCACTTTGTACTTCTACTTGAATAACTACAGTACTCTTACTTTGGCTGCTCTATTCATCTCTTTCAAAAGTGCAACACAGTTACCTACATAAAGTACTCATGGGTACCATACAAGCAAAAAGCTTAATTTTTTTCTTTTTTGTGAACAATGTACAATGCCAAGAACACATAAACTTGTATCTCATATCTTTCTCTAGATGGTTCTAAACTTGCTGTCCAGTGGGAGAGAGGACATCCAGACTGGTGTGTTAACACCTGTCCCATACCCCCACACCTTCCCCTGCCTGCTCCAGTACACCAAGGTGAGGCTGGTGCCCTACAGACTGGACCAGAGTGAGGGCTGGGCTGTGAACATAGAGGAGCTGCATTGATCTGTGACTGAAGCCAGAGACCACTGTAACCCGAGAGCTCTGTTCATCTGCAACCCAGGCATCCCCACAGGTACAGGGCCAATGACCCTCATTCCACCCCATCTACACTGAGTTCTGACTGCTACTAACCTGCACTTCCGCCTTGATTGCCATTTCCAACTAAGTGGGAATTTTCTATTATTTTTAATTGAGAACTAGAGGAAAGCCTCACTGCTAAAATGTTATATATAATAGGTAGATTTATGGGACATATTGAATATTCATGTGCACATACAAGTCAACAATGTAGACTTACTTTAGGTGGCTTCAAAACTAGTCTTTATTAAACCTTAGTACTGTACACATTAGCAGACCAATCACATAGACTAGTATATTTAAGTGGCTATAGCTAACCCACTAGTCACTGTGCTCCAAATAGTGTTCATGGGAACGCTTCCGGCTCCATCGACATCCATCCAATTTACTTTACATTGAGAAACTGTCACCCCTCTCTCTGTAACTGCTGCATTGAGTCAAATATTAACCTACTCTACGTGATCCTCCCATCTTCTTTCTGAGCACTGAAACTATGTCTCAACAACCATTTTCAGAGTAATACTCAGATGTAGATATATATTTTGAAAAACAGATCAGCGTCCTGTTGCATGTGCATTTGAATAATGTCTTGTTAAGCCCATCGCATTTTATGGAGTATTTAAAAATTCATATTTTTGTCAGTCAATCTAAAATAAAATGTGACTGAAAGATAAACCCCACCTCTGTTATGTTAATGTTTCAGCTGAAAGCCTCTTTGGATCTCTTTGATAGTTTTACAGCCCTGCTATCTGTAGAAAAACAATTTGGCCAATAATCACTGTTGCGCTCGTCCATGTGTAATATCTTAGGAGATTCAAAGTACACACAGTGCAACAGGCAAACCCATGCCCTGACCCCTGCAGGTGCCACTGACTCACTACTCTATCGAGCACCTGCATCAAACAATTCGATATTATATCGAATATCATTGCATCCCTATTTAGTAGGGTAGAGTAGAGTAGAGTTATGTACAGATAGAGTGTGATACAGAATGGATGAGTCATAAAAACTTAATTTGTGGACTTTGCTTTTAGATATTAACAATTCAGAAATACTGTCTGACTTCATGACCCCACCTGAAAATATCTGACCCTTGACCTTTCAACAGGACATGTACAAGACAGAAAATCTATTTAGAGTGTGATTCGATTTGCTGCAGCTGAACGCCTTATTCTTTTGGTCCAAGAGGTAACCACAATTATTGGTAGGTTTATTGCTGTGTGTTTGTTACATGATGAACTTTGTGATGTATCTAGGTTTACCAGGACTGTATTTGTGGGCCTGGCATAGAGTTTTTATCTTACAACAAAGTGCTACTCGAGATGAGCCAAGAGTACTCAGAGCATGTGGAGTTGATCTCTTTCAATTCTTTATCAAATGGAAGCCTGGGAGAGTGAGTAACCACATATATTTTATTTTACTGCATTACTGGACTTACAGTGGTGGAAAGAATACTGAAAATTTGTACTTAAGTAAAACTACAGTTATATAGCTAAAAATCTAAAAGTACAAAAAGTATAAACTACTGCCAAAATTATGCTTGAATAAAAGCAAAAAGTAATATGCATATTGTCTGATGTCTGACCAATCAGAGTAGGCAATGCAATGCTACAATTATACTCAATTACAAGTACAGTACAGTACAGTTTAAGTAAAATTACCCCAAAAATCTACTCAATTACAATAATGTGGGTATTTTTAACTTGCCAAATGTGCATTTAAAAATTATTGCATTTTTCTATTGATTTGTTTACATACTAATATACATTTCTAAAGGTTTACATTCACTATATATGTAACAGTTTTTTTCCATTTGCTCCTCAGGGGTGGTCTGAGGGGAGGGTATATGGAGCTTGTTAACACAGACTCAGTGGTGGAAGAGAGACTAAAGGTTTTGATGGGTTTTAGAACTCCTCCTGTTATACCACAGCCTGTTATGGAGGTCATGGTCAACCCTCCAACACCAGGAGAGATCTCCTACCAAACGTGCTCACAGGTAAAAACATACTCAAAGCAGTGTAACATTACTGGCAAAATGGGAATGGTAACTTGTATTTTTCATTAAATCTCAAATAAATCTCAATTCACAATTTTGCTAATGTCTGACTTCAAAGTCCACTGTGTAACTTTTCTGGTGAAGGATCCATCAAATGCTTTAAATCATTATTAAATCTAAATTAAATCTTTATGGAGACCAAACTGGGGCGAAGTTACAGGGCACAGCTGTGGAAAGGCAACCCTGCTCACAATCAGAATGCCTGTTTTTCTAGGTATTGTAGAGCAGGATAAAAACATGTAACTGAATAAATGTAAAGTTACATTTTTTTTTAGAGCAATGACATTGAAACAAGCAAGTGATGGCCCCTTAAAGAAGGGGCGGCATGGGCACGGTCTCTGAGTAGCCAGCACTCATGCTTGTTTTCCCTGTGTCTGGGTGGGTTTCCTCCAGACAGTCCAGTTTCCCCCATCAACATGCACCATAGTTAGGTAGAAATCCTCCAGCTAAGATAATCCTGACCAAGCCTAGCAACAACATCAAGGTGGGTGCCTGGGTGCCCCATGTGCTGCCCACTGCCCCTGTAAGGATGGATGAAATGCAGAGGTCAATTTCCCTATGGGATAATAAAAGAAATCAAGTAAAATCATGTGTAACCAGTAGCCAAACTAAGGTTGAGCTTGAGCTACCCCTAAACATTAACCAATTAAGATAAAATTTAGCACAGGCATTTTTTTCCATAGGCAGACTCACTTAAGACCTTGTGAGGTAAACAATCTAGAACTTTGATTTTTTTGGACCATGATAACCATCTTATGTGCCATTTATGAATAGCCTAAACCCAGTAAAAGATCACTGATGTATAGATTTCCATAACAGGGATTAATAGCATATGTATATGGTATATGGTCCTTGGGGGAAAAAGCTATAATGCACCAGCAAATGTAATAGAAAACCATGTCTTTTAATTTTTTACGTTCTAGGAGATTTCCTTTATTCAGACCACTCCGTCCCATAATGCTCAGCGAGGATATGTGGCCCTGAATAGTCTCAAAGGTGTGAGCTGCCAGCCAGTGATGGGAGGAATTTTCTTGTATCCCCGACTGGAATTACCTGCTCAGCTGATAGAAGAAGCAAAGGTCAGATTTTCTTTTCCTTCAGTATTTTGTTAAAACTATTCTGAGATGCATTCTTGATGACTATATGAAATGTACCAATAACCTGCTTGTAAATGCTAAGGTTTAAGTAAGAATGTGCATGTGAAAGAACTGTGAAATGAACCCAAACACAGAAATATTATTCTACTGTATGTCCTTGTTTGAAATACTAGACAGCAGGCATGTTTTTTTTTTTTAATATTCTTTTAAGTACTTTTATTGATTAGTCTCTATTATTTAATTATCTTTTTTTTTTTTTTTTTTTGCTATTAGCCACTTTTTCTATCACCTCTAGTTAGAATACATAACTTAAAACTAATTGAATGCTTTACTCTTTATTTATCTATTTCCAATAACAGATGTTAGGGCTGCCTCCTGGTGTACTGTACTGTCAGATGTTACTGGATAAAGCAGACGTGTTTGTAGGAGCAGGCTGTGAGAATGGATCTGAAGTTGATACCTGCTGTTATATCCGGTAAACCACCACAATATCAGAATAATCTTGTTTTCTTGCTGTTAGACTAACCGCTGTCCATTGTAATTCTTTCAGGCACAGTTTTGCTGCATCTTCAGATATTTTTCAGGACCCTTATCACGATTGTGCTCTTTCCATCATCACCTGCATGAGACATATTCATGAGATGCTGAACTATATTGAACATTACTTTTAATAAGGCTGGGCAATTCATATTTTAGTTAAGCTCTTAACTTTGATGATATGCTTTTTTATCAAGAGATCTACAGCCAATCCTCTTGACAGTTCAGACTTTTTATGACACGGGAGTGTGGCACTTACTTGTCTTGTTAAACCAGTTTTCTCTCTTGTATTTAAATTTAATATTTTTTCATCGCTATATAGCCCAATCCTACGTTCACTGCATACTGTACTATTTATTGTTAACATTTTCCATGTTGGTTTGAGTGCAGTTAAGTAACAAATTAAAACACATCTCTGGTATTCTGTATGTACTGAACTTTACTGACTCAGTTACTGACAATTTATGTACAGTAATGTATGAAGTATTTCCAATAGTCATAGTCATCAAACTGCACCATGTAATCCTGCATTTCTTAATTCTAGTGCCTAATTTAAAGAAACACAGCCACAGATTAAGGGAGTCTTTTTTTAATAACAGCAAGCATTTAAAGCCACAGAGCAGAAATAAAAAAATAAAACAATTCAAATGATAAAACACAGTAATACTGCTGCTCCTTAAAGAATCCTTACATAAAAATGCATTAGTTCGGGTTTTGTCTTAGACATGTTTGTAGCTTGAATACAAGATGAACGTAGTGCCAAACAAAAAGTATAAATGAATACATCATTTACATGAACATATTTAAATGGACTAGCTATGTAGGCTACACTGTTGACTGAACATTTCACAGTCCATCCCTCAAAACATTCAAACTCCAAGTTACAATTTGAAAAAGTAACATTGCATTTTCAATTCGACAGAGCTCGCCCAGAGAAAATTAAACAGTAAACAAAAATGTAGCCGCAATTGTGTACCAACAACATCCAAAACAGCACAAGAACTGGTACATGAGCAATAATGGGGTCTAATTGTACCCCTTACTGGTTTTAGAAGGACACCTGGAGGACCTTGTCTCCAAGCCGGTATCCATTCAGGTTGTGGATCGCCATAGCAGCATCTTCATAGTTGGTCATTGTGACGAAACCAAAGCCTTTGCACTTGTTTGTTTTGAAGTCGCGGATGACCTTCACGTTGGCTACGGCTCCGAAGGGTCCAAACATTTGCCACAGCATGGACTCATCTGTGTCTTGGGTCAGGTTATAGATGAAGATGCACCAGCCGTTTGACCCTTCTGCTCCACCACCATGACCGACGTTAATGGGAGAGTATCTAGAGGAGAATCAAGAGACATCAGTGGCCGGTGATGTTTTGGCATAATGCCTTCTCCAAACCATCAGTACAAATCTAGGGTTGTAAACTTGAAAGACTCTAGTGTCTACTAATCTCTAGTAATGAAGCTCAATAGGTGAACTGTATGAGTAATGTAAACAAATGTGCTGTGGTAGTGCATGACATTACAAGACTGACTGGCTTTTTAAAAATGCATTTACCTGAAGCGCTGGGACTGGTGGTGGACAGCTCCTCCAAACCGCCGTGACTGGTAAGACTGAGAACCCATCTGATTCTTTGCTTGATTTGGGGCAGCAGCAAATTTGACTGTGATTGGCTCAGAGGTGCCAGGTGGAGTTTGACCATTGAGGCTCTCAATGGCATCTTCTGCCTCTGACCTTTTGTCAAAACGAATGAAGGCAACACCACGGGAATGACCTAGGCACAAGCACAGTCAAAATTTTAAGCATATTTACATAACTTTATTTCAATTACCCTTCATAAGGCTTCATGAACTGTCCTTCACTGCTTACCAGATGCTTGATCCACCAGGACTCTGGAAGTAATGATCCGCCCAAAGCGAGAGAACAGGTCCTCTAGCTCCTGCTGACCCATTGTCCTAGGCAGTCCGCTAATGTACAGATTAGCATCTTTAATCAGGTCAGAACTTGGCCGGGCATAAGAAACCTGCAGGGGGCAGCAGACAAGTTTCAGTGTTTGGCTTATATTCAATGAGCTAAGATAATAAATATTACTTTATAGGTGCAAAACAAAATAAAGACATTTAAAGCCCTTTGAAAAGTAGTTTACAGTTGGCTCTTGAAAAATAACTTCATACAATTTTACTTCATACAAAAAAAGAAAAACAGATCCAACGGCATTCAATACATTAAAAAAAAAACATTCTGAGAAAAAGAAAAATCATAATTCAGCACACTGTCACTCTGAACTATTAAAAACAGATTCAGAGGCAACAACAGCCGAAGATCAAACAGTGTAAATTTTCCAAATTAAAAAAACAATAACAGTCTTGGGGGGGAAAAAAAAAGATACCTTTCTCCATTTGATAATGTCGAAGAGCGCTCTCTGCTGCCCAGGACATGATAGTGCACATCAGTTGAGACATGAAAATCAATGAGCTCCTTTGGCACTTTACCTTGATAGTTTTAGACTGTAGCCTCAGGCCATTGAGGGTATTGATAGCCCTCTCTGCATCATTAGGGTTAACAAAGTTAACAAAGCCGTAACCTAAACTGTTGCCTAGAAAAACAAACAAAGGAAAACAAAATAAAACAACAAAGCTGTTTTCTACACAGCTTTCACACATCATGGATATTAAAAAGAACAGCAGGAAAATGTGATTCCAGGTTTCTATGTGTAAATAAAAACATAGAAATATAAAGTAGTATATAAGCAATTCATAATATCTTAAGTGGACTTGTGAGCTAGCACATGACTATAGTCTATTTTTTAATAATAAAATAATTTTATATATAATAAAACACCTTATGATTAGCAAAGAATGCTTAAATTCACAAATGAAATGTTGTAACACCATTTAGAATTAAACATTAAAGTAAAATAGCATAGTGGTGGGAGTCCTTGACAACATCCTCAGAAAAAAAAGCATTCTAAAATATGACCAAAGATTGTACAAGTGAATTCACAAACAAAACTGACATTTGTTCATAAAAACAACAAAATTGGATACCTGTCACACCTGGTAAGAAAATAAAGATTTCATCATTGTCATAAAGGAAAAGCATCAAATATGAAAGAAAACCTATTCAAATGAAATACATTGACAGTTCATTAACAAATCGAAAATCACATCTTAAGTGAAAGCAAAATAAAAAAAAAAAAAAAAAAAAAAAAAAATTCACAATATAGATTACCCTGAACCAGAGGCCAAATTGTAACAAAAGTGTAAAAGAATAAAACAAACCCAAACATAAAAGTGTGTTTGGAACAGAGATCATCAAGGACGTCTCAGTGCCGAACCAAAAACCCAGAGTAAAAAAAAAAAAAAAAAAAAACAAAAAAAAAACAAATAAATGTACATTAGGAAAAAAACAAGACTGCTTTTCCCCATAATGAAACAAAAATAGAGAAAAAGTGTATTTGGGCCTAAGGTCTAACCAGTTTTTTGAGTAATTCTGCTTTAAAGTCAAATTGAAAGAAAACAAAAAACTAAAAAATATATATAATTTAGATAAGCTCTTCATGTTTATACGCAAAGTAAAATGTAGTGATGTAAGCAGTGCTGTAGTTACCTCCCACTTTGTCCCGGATGAGCTTTGCAGTTTGCACCTCGCCCACACTGCTGAAGAGGCTGCACAGCTCCTCCTGGGACATGCTCTGGGGCAGATAGTTCACGATCAGGTTGGTTCGGCCGTTTGAGTCGTCCTCCATCATCTGATGCTCATCGAAGCCATTCCTGTGCTGCTACAAAGAACACAAAGTGAAATAAAGACATAGAACTAAAATATTTTAAAATAGTTATTACAAATAGGGCTGCACAACTTCTATAAACAATTCAGTATTGTGATCACGTTTACAATTTGTGTATAAAAAGTTGAGTTCTCATTTCCAAACATACCCAGAAACATTAACATTTGAGAGTACACTGAAATCTGAACTGGTAAATACATGAATTACATGCATTTTGGAACATGTTTGTAGAGGTCTCAAAAGGTTTAGCTTTTTTCCAATAACAGTATTGAGGTTTACAGTGGACACTGTATTAACTATTGCAATTTTCATAATTGTACCAACTCAATTTGCAATTTTGAGTGCATCCTTATTTATACTTGAAATGTGAGAAAAATGAAGATGGAAAAACCACCTTCTCAGAGCAGTCATCATTGCTGTCTTCATCACCATGGGTCGGCTGAACCTCACATACCTTTAAAAAAAAAAAAAAGAAGTAAAGTTAAAAATCCTTCAATATGCACTGTAAATTAGAACAGTACTGAACATTTACAGTGCTTTAGACTTTAAATTAAACACTATCATCATAAAGGGTTAGACCTCACCTTGAGGTATCTCTGTCTTTGTCTGTGAGCCATGAGATGTTCGTGTGTAGTGTTGATAATAACCTAAAAAACAAAACACATAAACGGGTAAACATATTTATCACCAAACAGTAGGATAGTGAAAGCAGGAAACATACTATGCCTCATCTATGTTCCATAAACATTGTGAGTAGTTAAACAGCAGTTCATACACACATGTGTAAAGATGTGCACATTTGGATCACGTTGCTAATTTTAGGTTACGTGCGCTCGTAACGCTAAACGCTTTCACGGACAAATGGCATAGCTAACATTAGGTAGGTAATACAGCTTCTACAGATAAAAACAATTAATGCATACAAGTAACCCTCTGCATTTGGACAATTAAGTTACATCAAGAAAACAGCATTCGCCGGTGACATACTACATGCGTTAGCTCCTTTCTACACAAAGAAGCTAGGCTAAGTTAGCTAGCCATAAGCCATCATTGTCTCCTACAGTGAGATCACACTTGCCTTACCTATAATTCGGTTGTGCTTCTTGTTGGTAATTTCCAAGTCAACGTACAATAAATGATTATAAGTATGGTTTCCGTTTTAGCAAAAGCCCAAATGTTACGCTACAAGAAGCTAATCTTCCCACCAAAATGAGACTAAAACGGAAGGAAATATCGCGAGAACATACAGATGCCGACGCCCCCTTTTCATGTAGTTCTCATACTTAACCACACGGGGGAGGCAAAGATTCTTTATTACGCCTATGCATAATGTTGAGATTGATCAAGCAGTAGCCCATATTTACTTTTATAGAGTTTCATTTTAAGTATGGATGAATCACGTTGAAATCTGAACCATTGGTCTATAGTAGGCTATTTTAGTGAGTTTAAGTAAAAACAAAAGTCAACTATATGGCTAGTATTTATACTATGCGACTTATAATACCTATCAAACATTATTTTGCCACTGTCTGTGCATATATATGGCATTATTTAGATGCAAACACATTATTTTATTGTTTCTGAAATCATATTTCTGAGGCAAAAAAGCATTTTTGTTGTGTAATTTATACTGTTTAACTTGCTATAGCTGTTATTGTCTTGCTATTTGCTATTCTTTAAATCTGGTATTTTAATAAAAATGTCAAATTATTCAATTTCGTAAAGCATTCCTAACCTTGAAGCACCTTGAATTGCCAGTTGCTGGCTGTGCATATTGTCATGTCCCAGAAAGAAAAAGAATTCAGCTGTTCAATTATTTGCCTAGGTACCAAGGCATCAAACTTGCTCATAGTAATTGTAAAATGAGTCCAAGTTAATGAGATTAGTACTTTCAGCTCATTACGTAGCCTATGATGAGTATAGATGGGTATATGGGTATAAGGTGTAATTTCTTTGGATTTGTGTGTTAAATATAATGGGAGACAGAGGATCGTAGATTTTATTGGAAACTACACTTATTAAAACCTGAGTGCTTCAGAGAGACAATAAACAAACAACAAACAACTTATTTTTGACCAACATTTGCTCCTAAAGTGTCTTTCTGCAACATGTCTCTTTTCAGGTCCATCTCAGCTCTGACCAAAAGTGCTTTAGGCTCTCAGGCAGTGCATCCTCTTCTGTCCACCATCAGATTCTACTGAAGATGTCAATATGAACTATAAAACCATCATCAGTAAAATCAAGCCATATTTAGGAAGGTTTAGTCCACAATGAACAAAAATGAGACACAGTTAAAAGTTGTCTGTTAAAATGAAGTTGTTAAAATACTCTCAGCATGGCTGTTTGGAACACTTGTGCGAATAGTCCCATGACGATCCCGCGGAGCATCACCTTCTCTCATTGGACAGTCTGCTGGGGAACGGCCGCACTTTGGACAGGACTTTGTGAGGGAGGTCCGTCATTGTGGTCACACATTTAGTGTTCGCTGGAAGCGGTGTTACCGTGGTGACGGTGGACACAGTGGGAGTGGGGCCACATGTTGTTGCGGTCACTGTTGTGGTTGTAGTAGAGATTGTACTTGTACTTGTAGTAGTATTTGTAGTTGAAGTAGAAGTAGGAGGGGGGTCACTAGGTGTTACTGTTGGAACAGGTTTGGCCAGAGTGGTCTGTATTTCAGCCCTCCGGGCCAGAGCTACTTTCAGTCGCTCCCGCATGTCATCTATTTGCACCTGCAACTCCTCCAGTTCACCAGGACGGGGCGGGGTCACAACAACTGGGGGCGTGGTCTCTGTGGTTGTGGGCGGGGCTGTTGTACTGGAGGGAGGAGTGACTGTTCGGGGTGTTGATACATTTGTACGAATAGCAGCAGAGGAGGTGGAGGAGGTGGTGGCAGATGATTTAGGTAAAGCTAGGATCAGACTTGCCAAAGAGGGTGCAGGGCCCCCGTTCTCACATACCCGGCCAAATGCAGGCTTGGGTTTCTCAGCGGGCTCAGGCCGTGGGGGTCCATCACTGTTACCCACCGCTGCTTTTGCGTCGGACGCAGCGAGGCGCGCCAGAAGGCGGCGTGTGTTCAGGGTCTCCAGGTGGAAGTGGACACGTTTAAAGTCTCGAGCGTCCATGGGCGCAGCTGTGGCCTCCTCCTTCGGGGTCTCATTGTTCCACTTGGCTGCAGCTCCTGCGGTGGGTGGGGCAGGTCCCGGAGGGGGCTGGGACTTTTCCAGGTTACAGCTGGACACAACATGACACATTGGGTTACTGCAGACCAATAGAAGCATACTTTTAACAGTCAAACTGTGGAAGAGGATGGTGGAGAATGTGACATGATTCTGTTTTTTACAAGTCTAAAACTGTTATATTATATATATGGTTGTTTTAAAAAATCTTTATGGTGCACTTTGAACATTTAGATTTTTTTAATTTGAGCAGTTTTCCAGTTTGTTTTTAACTAAAAATGGCAAATAAACTAACCTAACCTTCAACTTCAATGAAGGCCTCAAGATGTGAGCAGTGGTTATCAAACGAGACCTCTTGATCTGAGTTCAGATACCACATGAACCAAAGGATGACAAACCTTTTCTCTTTTTCTGCACGCTGCCTCTTCACATCTTCATAGGTCATGTTCAAAGCCCGGTGGATTTTCTGTCAAACCAAAACACAGAAACATTAACTGCTTGTCAGGTCACAGGAAGCACCCATGGGAATCCTGAGTGGGCATGTCCAACCTGAGAGGTGTGCAGCCAGTATTTCAGGTTCTGTCGTCTGCGGATGTGAGGCAGGATGAATCTGAAGAATCCATGTTCACCGGCCAGAGTCAGTAAGGCCCCGGCCACACCCACACACAGCAGCACAAACAGCCCAGAGAAATGACTGATGCCCATCTGAAGAGTCTAAAACAGCACATCAAACAAGCTCAGACATGATGGTGGGATGAGGAAAGGAAATTATTTCGCTTTCTACATGAGCTTTTGTGCTGACCTTGAAAAAACAGAATGCATAAGCCATTTATAAGTTTAGCTATAACTAGTTCAGTGGTCAGAGCACAAACCTAAAGGTCAAGGGGTTGTTTCCAGCTCAGACCAAGTTATGTCATTGTGTCCTTAGGCAAGACACTTCACCCATGTTGCCTAAATGAGACTGATGTTGGAGTGACTGGTGGTCAGAGGGGCTGATGAAGTTTGGCAGCCTTGCTTCCGTCAGTCTACCCCAGGGCAGTTGTGGCTACAGAAGAGGCTTACCCACAGAGTAAAGAGGGAATCAATAATAATAAAGGGTTTGAGAGATTTGCCAAGAATGTAAACCACATTACAAGTCTTCAGCTCCGCTCAACAGTGAGAGATACAGGACTACATTCATACCCTACTCCATACAACTGTGTAACAACTCACCATTATGTAACAGATGACCCTGTCCTGTCAATCATCATATCATCTTTGCACTGTTTTCCTTACAAGCTCTTTTATATAGCTGAAATATGTTTGTATATTTGTATATTTTATTTTTACTTGTACATACACATTTACATAATTATACCTTATTTGACACCAGTCTCATACTGTTTTTGCTACTTATTTACAATTTATTATTACCATTTATATTTTTTCTCTTGTAATTATAATATATTGTGATGTGTGAGCTACTGCGTCCAAGTTATTTCCTGTCTGGATCAATAAAGTTTGTTTGTAAAGTCTAAGTATGATTAAATAAATGACTGAGATTAGATATTTTCTTATGTCACTGAAAGTTACTGGTGGACCCCAAAAACAACAAAGCGCCAAAGGTCTCATTCTAGTACATGGTGATGATGGTAAGTGAAATCAAACTCTCATAATGACTTTGATGACTGACCTCAGTGACAACAAAGCCCCGGTTGCCACAGGGAACCATCTTGTACCACTTGTCATGGAGCAGGTCCATGTAGCCATCAGACTTGTATCTGCTGATGAACTCTGACATGTTTGAGGTGAGGGGAGAGTTCTGAGGGAGGCCTATACCATAACCTGCCACCAAGAGAGAAACACGGGTTGAGACACAAATCTTTAATTAACAAATTATAATAATATAATTTTTGTCATGTTAGAAAAAACATGCAAAAAAATGCACTAATGAATAAGAGAAGCACTGGCTAATTCAGCTTTAACGAACTCCATAAAATACACTACACTGGAATTTCATTAAAAAAACGTTGTTTCATCCAATCTGATAAAACACAAGGTGAAGAAACATAATTAATGTGAAACAGAGGGGGAACCTGAGGTCAGAGTACAAAATGAAAACCTAAATCATGAGTATCCAATGTCTGATATGTAAATGTAGAGTTTAATTAAAATGTGACCACATTGTCATAAAAGTGTAATAAAGACTAATGGTCTCCACATAAAGCAGTACATGGTTCAAGTCTGCAGTAGTTCTATTAGTGTGCTGGAGAAATTAATATCATTTATTGTTTAAGTTATTCTTTTGCCAGGAATGTTTCACAGTATGGTAAAAACTTCTCTGTCTTTTATTCATGCTAATGCTGCTTGCCTCTGTGGAGAGTGCTAAGTATTATGCAATTTTATGTAACATTTCAGAAAAAAATGTCTCCATGGAGAATAGAAGGATTCAGACCCCAATAATTCACACACTGTAGCTTTAACGCTATTATCTGTAATTACATGAGTTGACCTGTCCCTGCTGTATTCTCACATATCACCACTAGATGCTATCTATGTTACTGCAGTCTGATAGTATGCCAGACTATAAAAGACCACAGAACACATGCAAGCCTTAAGAAAAGCCAGGTGTGGCAAATAACTTTGTAGATGGTAGCTTTAAATGCCCTGTGCTTTTCCCCTCTATGGAATTCTGCTGTCTGCATCTAATTATCTAATCTAAAAAAGCATTTATTTATTGTTCAGTATTTAGGAAGTGTTAGCATGCTAGTTGTTGTTAGCTTTACCGTGATGACAAAACTTCACTATGGTCTCTGAAAGTTGCTAAAAGCACTTATAAATTCATCGTGTCATGCAGAATAATTAGGATGCTTGGAGTGCATAAGATACGTGAAAAATTACCACCGTGGACTGTTTAAAGTAAACTTGTTCTGTTTTTCAAGACAGTAAAAATCAGGTGTCTTTAAAACAGAACTAGTCAGATTCCCTCCCACCAGCCCACTTGGGGCAGTCTTGTTATTCTTGTCACGTGTGTTAAGAGCAGGCGTGATTAAAGTGTACTTTGTGTCAGCAGGTGAAAGTGATTC